GTGGTTCTTACGGTGATTGCAAAACACTGTCAGCCGTAACCACCAGGAAACTTTGAAAGGACAGGGTTTAATACTCACCTATCCTGGGGGTTGCCGGCATGCCTGGGGCCACAGAAGGAGACTGTGAGGAGGAGGGTGAAAGGGTGGGGTGTCTCGAGTTTTGCAGGTTCACTCTTTATAGATAAATTTAAAATGTAAGAGCAGGAATTAAAGCTCTGGAAGGGAGCCACAATCGTTCAAAAGATCAGTTATCTAACACAATGAGAGATGTCTCAAAGCAAATTTGGGGATGGGGTTAGGCCTGGCTCTTTATCTAGTGTTGTAGCTGGTAAGGTGTTTATTGGAGACAGCTGGCTTTAAGTGGATGCCTTTGCCATCTAAAATCTTAAAGCACTTGCATTATAACAAAAAAAAATCCCCAAAAACAAAACAACAAACAAACAAAAAACTGTTGTGTGGGGCTTACAGTGTGGGATGAGATATGGGGGGTGGTGGGGAGAAGTTAACAGATTCAGGAAAGCCAGAGAAAAGACTCAATTTTGCCATACAGGTTCTTTCTAGGGTGTAAGAAATGGGGCAAATCCTGAACAGGTGTACATATGGCCACCCTTTATGCACTCACTGGTCTGTTTTAAAACTTCTCTGCTTTAATTATCTTTTTTTTAGTCTCAGCTAGTAGGCTTGTATTCTTTTAGAAGACAGGCTATGCCCTGTACATTCATGTTTTTATTCTATCATCTAAATAGAGCCTGGCTCCAGGCAAGAGCCTATGTAAGGAATGACAACTAGATAAATAAATAATACAAGATGCCAGCTTCTTTGAAAATGTTTTCCTTGTAGGGCATTTTAAATTAAGCAATTGCTAGCCATTCTTGCATGAAATGTTGGTTTAAATTCTCCAAATTTAATGTTTATTGACCCAAGTTTAAAATAGGATATACATTCCTATAACTTTATAGTCTGAAGATTTTTTTTTTAAGGTAGGCTCCATGCCCATTGTGGAGCCCAATGCTGGGCTTGAATTCATGATCCTGAGACCAAGAGTCTGATGCTTAACTGACTAAGCCACCTAGGAGCCCCCGAAGAATTTTAAACAGTCAAAATCAAACCACCAATTATTAAGGAAAAAAATAAAGCCAGATTTAGTGGCTATAGTTAATTAGGATAAGTAACATTGTGAAAAGAAACTTGTTTGGGAGAGATTTCCTTCATGGGGGGTGGGGAGGGGTTATTTATACTAGAACTCCCAGATAAAATCCCATAGTGGCACACTGAATTTCTGCAGAAAGGAGACTATCAATGAAACAGGTGTGGCCCATGACAAATCAAACAATCCATTTAGGATCCAACTTTTTAACTCGCTGTCTTTATATTTTTGTTGAATCAAATCAACTGTTTTGATCTGAGGGACTCTAACTCCATTACTAAGAAAAAATTGGTTGTAAACTGTTATTTAGAGTGACAAGAAATTTGACTTTTTCTTCCCTTAGAGTGAGTGAGATAGAGCGAGAGGAACAGAGGAGGAGAGAGAGAGAATCTTAAGCAGGCTCCTCAAGCAGTGTGGAGCCCGATGTGGGACTCGATCCCATGACCCTGAGATTATGACCTGACTTGAAATCAACAGTTGGATGCTCAAACAACTGAGCCACACAGATGCCCCAGGAATTTGACAGTTAAAAAAAATCTTTATTTTTGAGAGTGAAAGAGAGAAAGCACAAGAGCCGGAGAGGATAAGTGAGAGAGTGGGGAGACAGAGGATCTGAAGCAGGCTGTGCACTGTCAGTGCAGAGACCGAAACGGCGCTCGAACCCACCAACTGTGAGATCATGACCTGAGCAGAAGTCGGATACCTAACTGATTGAACCACCCAGGTGCCGCAATACATATTTATTCATCACTTACTATGCATAATGCAAATGGCAGGATACCTACTATTCTGCTCTGTGCAAGTCCCATCAATAGGAGAATGTATGAAGGGAAAGCGGAGGTACCTTTAAAACTGCAGTGAGTCAAAGTTGGAGGTACTTCTGAGGTCCCGGACTAGTCTGCTGAATATTTACATTGGCCGGGAGTGCATCGCCTCCATTTGTTTAGCCAGCTCCAAGGCTTAAATCTCAGGATGAGCTGTTATCTACATCCTAGGAACTTATCCTTTCATTGATCTCAGTTTAGCCCTCTGAGGCCACACACAAGTATATGAACCCTGCAGGTATTTGGAGAGAGCTTTTATGTGCTTTCGCCTGGATCTGCTCTTCTTCTTCTTCTTCTTCTTTTTTTTTTGGTATTAATATGCTATTTTAATTTTCTTAAATTGAAGTGTAGTTGACATAATATTTGTTCCAGGTGTACAACATAGTGATTTGACCATTATATACATTATGAAATGCTCACCATGATACATGTAGCCCTTATATGGAGTTATCACAATATGATTGACTATACTTCCTGTGTTGCGCTTTTCATTCCTGTGACTTCTTTGTTTTACAGCTGGAAGTTTATACTTCTTAACCCTCTTCGTCTGTTTTGCTTATCCTCTCATCTCCCTCCCATTTGTTCTCTGTATTTCTGAGCCTGTTGATACGAAACAGTATTTATCCTTACTGACACGAGAGGTCCTCTAATTTCTATTTCATTTTTAAAAAATGCTGGTTTTCTGAACTTCTGGTGGGTGATCGGCATGAGTTTGAAAAACACTTAGAATCTAGTGCTACTCCAGTATCAGTAGCACTCGGGAGCTTGTTAGAACTGAAGGTTCTCACATCTTCCCACACCTCCTACATCATAAGCTGCATCTAAGGTGATTTTATAATTACAGAGTAATCAAAGTATTCTAGCGTTGTCCCAGCTGTGCTGAGGGGAACTGGGGACAGGGTGTGGACTTGACACAGGTTGTAACATTAGAAGGGGGAGTGGATCAGTTTCATGAGAGCAATAATGTCTTCTGACACGTCCCTAAGGGAAAAGTGAGTTTCGGAGAGCAGTTAGTGGGGTTATGAGCCCTGGCAGTCCTGACCCATAGAGGATATCGTGCCCTGACAACTTCAGAGACTCTGGGTCTGGTTGTGCTGGGAAGGCTGGTGGCCTCTCTGTAGATGTTTCTTAGCTTTGTTCCCAGGGAGGCTTTTGTATTCTGTCACTGGATGGTTTAGAATACCTACAAAGACCATAGATTTGTAGCAAGACCCTTTGAGGTTCAGAGGTGTGCAGTCCACTTCTAGTTTTTGAAACTTGTAGAATGGTCATTTAAAAAATTTTTTCTTTAATGTTTATTTATTTTTGAGAGAGAGACAGACTGTGGGTGGGGGAGGGGCAGAGAGACAGACACACACACGGAATCCAAAGCAGCTCCAGACTCTGAGCTGTCAGCACAGAGCCTGAAGGGGGGGGGGGGGGGGGGGGGGGGCAGGCTCAAACACACAAACTGTGAGATCATGCCTGAGCTGAAGTTGGAAGCTTAACCAGCTGAGCCACCCAGGTGCTCCTTAGAATGGTCATTTTATTAAAAACGATTTTTAAGTAATCTGTACACCCAACGTGAGGCTTGAACTCACAATGCCAAGATCAAGGGTCGTGTGCTCCTCCGACTGAGCCAGCCAGGCACCCCTATGATGGTCATACTTTTAAAATACTTACACAGAAACACAAAGTCACAAGCTCCTTTAGCTTCCCCCACCCAGAATCAACAAACCCATCATTGGAGCGAATCTGGCTTTTTCGTGTAGTGTTACCATGAATACTAAACCTGGTAAAACTGTGTAAATGTTAAAAATTGAATAATTTTGAAACGTGAGGCCTGCACTGGGCTTGCAGCCTCAGTCAATGCCTTCTTACGCTGTCTGCTCACTGCTGCCAAGCCCCAGGGACAGCAACAGGGGCCCTGCTGGAGACCTGTGTGCGCTCGCAGCAATGGCCAGGATGGTAATGACCAACAAGTCTGGTTTCCCAAATGACTGACCCGGTTATGTGACAGTTCATTGTGAAGCAAAACATACTCCACAGCGGTTGCTTCAATGGGGAAATTTCACTCTTTGCACAGGAGGATTTTGTTTCAGTCCTTCAGCTGTCAGACCTCTGCTGTCTAAATGTCAATATGACAAAGCATATGTTTAACCTAGCTGGAAGAATTTAGAATATTATCTGGCATATTCAGGTTCCTAAACCTGACATTTGGGACACGTTCAGATTTTTGGAGTTGGTATATTTTGTGGCCCAGGGTACATGAATAGTGACATCTCCTTTCCAATCTGTGCCTTTCTTTGCATCATAAGTATTAGATAAGAAAAAAATTTTTCTCTATTATTAGCATCTTCTGGAATCTCATAGTTTGGAAACTGGGGAACAAATTCTTTCCACACAAATGTGAGGGTCTTTAAAGAAACCTGTCTTTTTTTTTTTTTAAGAATTTTTTAAATTTTTTTTATTTTTGAGAGAGAGAGAAAGTGCAAGTGGGGAAGGAGCAGAGAGAGAGAGAGGGAGACAGAATCTGAAGTAGGCTCCAAGCTCTGAGCTGTCACCACAGAGCCCGACACAGAGTTCAAAGTCATGGGCCACGAGATTATGACCAAAGTTGGAAGCTTACCTAACTGAGCCACCCAGGCACCTCCCATAAAACGCTCTCTTTTTAATACATTGTTCACTCTTGGTAAAACCCTGATGAAAAGCAGGCAAGATAGTAACCATGTATTTAAAGATGTGCAAATGTACCACTTTCAGTTCCTCTCAGTGGTTCCAGTGTTTCTCAGAGCAAACCTCCTCTCACTAGACTTTAGCTCTGAAATCAGATAAATTTGATGACAACAGAAATGATTGATTCTATTCTTTATGAAACGAGACAAATTATGCTTTGGGAGAAAATAATTTGCTATAAAGTATAAAATGCTTTAATATTTATATCTTATAATAAAACCATGACACGTTTATAAACACTCTATCAAGCATTTTTACAATGGGGCGCTGCTGGCAACTAGAAATACGCAATAAATATGCACAGACACACTGAGTATGAAATATACATCTCGATTTTATAATTGTGTGTGCTTTATTTTTTACACAAATGGAATGGAAGTGTCGAATATTTACACTTAACAGGAGTGTAAGCTGTGCAGTGTCTCTGTAAACTCCAGCCCAGGCAAGGAGTGTTTCCCCCCTCCCTCCCATCCTGCACTACAGCTCGATGGAGAAACATCCTGTCAGAGAGAAGCACAAAACTGTCATTTTGAAAGGATCTAACGGGTACAGCCTGGTGCACTCAGAAGTTAAGACACATTTAGGAAACACAAATTCAAAAAGGAGAGAAGAAAAGTTTGCCATCCCATTGGGAGTCAACCTTGCCATTTGGTTGTCTGTCCTCATGAGTTGCTAGGGAGATTCTATTTTCTGTCTTCTAGGTGCTCTTTGTCTAAATCATCCACCTGTCTCAGCTTGTCCTCAGCTGCTACAAGAAACTGCACAGCTGTACAAGAAATGATTTCCAAAGCACAGTTTTCAGTGAGGAAGGATATTTACAGACTGGAGTGTGTGTGTGGGTTTCCATCCACATTCATTCATACCCGATGTGGTATGTGTATAAATGGTATACATACCACATAGACCATACATACACATAAGTAAAATGCATATCCACAGAATTTTGTAGGGAGATCTCTGGCAAATCAGTTGTCAGCATGTCACTCCACATGCTTTAAGAGAACTGTCCCCCTTTCCCCCCTAGGAGTGACAAATTACTATGTATGATAAACTTAGGAGCTAGCCTGAGTCCTTGACTTAAATACTTTTGTAGGAATTTAGGCAGGACCAAGACAGGAAAAGAAAGAGATGTTATTTCACCAGCGAGTCCATTCAATCTCACCAGAGCAATCACCAGCTGAAAAGCAGAGGGGGCTTCACATGAAAATGGAGGGAAAAAAAGCTTATGAGTGGGGAGAAAAATGTCTCTCTCCAAATCAAGGCGATGGCATGGCTTCAATGAGAAGAAAGAGCTTTGCTGTCAGAAATGATTTTGGGGCCAGAGTCTGCCTTTACAGAGAGGAAGTGTCCTCAGAGCCACGGGATGATGCTGGGAGTGGGCTCACTTTGGACCAGCCTTCAGGCAGAGAGGCACCCAGGTGCCGGCAATGCCCAGAGCTCATGCATCGTCGCTGCCAGGGCAGCGGTGCAGGCTGGCTCAGTGAGGCGTGCTGGAGCGGGCTCCAGCCCAGGACCTCATGCTCAGCTTTGCTTTCTGGGCTGCGCGGGTGAAATGGTGACCCAAAGGAATTGTGTCATCAGTCCAGTGTATGGACTTGCTGTCCGAATCAGCCATGAGCCCTTATAGGACAGAAATATTACAGAGTGGGGTATGGGAGAGGAGAGGATAAAAGGTGTGAGGAGAAGAGGAAGGACAGGAAGGGAAAGGGGAATGAGAAGCGGAAAGGGAAACTAAAGGAGATGGAGAGACAGGGGAGTGAAGGGGAGGGAGTAAACGAGAGAACACAGAAGAAAGGCAACACTCAGGGAAGACAGGCCAATAGGAGAAAAGGAGAGGTGTACACAAGAAGGGATGGAATGAGATCGACATGGAAGGGGGTGGGCAGAGGTGAATAATGAGGAAAAACCAGAGGCAAGAGCCCGGGGAGTGGAGAGTTTCTCCCTGGCTCGGGGTCCGGAAGGGCTGGCAGTAGGATCGAGGACAGCTCACAGGCACCTGAGTGCGGCTTCAAAAAGATGGGCTCACTGGGCAGAAGGAGCCAAGCCGAGAACTCGGGGCTGCGGGTGGGGTGGTGGGAGGAAGGCCGGCAAAGAAATGGCCAACAGATCCTGTGGGAGGAGAGCAAAAACAAATGCCCCTGCAATTAGCTGACAAATGCGATTTTGATTTTGGTAAAGCTGAGACCCCCGTGGTGCTACACATTGTACCAGAGCATGAAAAATAGCACCAGTGACACGATCTGGCACTTTTCGGAAAGGGCCCAGCATGTGAAGGTGACGTTGCGCCCCCAGCAAGCCTTCAGATTGGAGAGAGCTCCGGACAAAGTTTGCAGTGTTAGCACCAGTCTGGCCCCAGGCTCCAAGTGCATTTGCACCAGATGTAATCTGGGTAACTTTCCTGCTGTGTCCATACAAGTCATCAGATTTGCTGCAAAATACACCAGTCATTGGAGCCGTAGAGACCTCAACATTGGGAAGCGCAAGACAACAAAACAAATGGAGGTGTAAATTCTATAGGAAAAGACCCTCTCACCAATTGGCTTGGTGATTCTTCAAGCAAATATATATGTATATATATATTTATATAAATCTACATAAAAAATCAGTGCAAATGCCAATTCTAATCTGGAAGCATCTACACTAGGAAAATAAATAATTATATTACTACAAAACCATGGGTTGGTGGATCAGTTTGATTGTACTCAGCCACAGCAATACTTAATATTAAATGGAAAGCACATCACACGACCCGCGGAAACATCTACTCATTAATGACAGTCCTTTAAATAAATGGTTGCATGCTCAGTTGAGAAACCAAAGAAGTTATTATGGTGGCCTAAAAATAGAGCTGGGATCAGGAATGGCATTCTGGTGGCAGAAAACTTCTGGCAGCAATATTGATGAAAGTAGGCCTTGACCTGAAACTTGGCAAATCGCAGCCACGGACATATCTTAAACATTTTGAATGCTTTAAGGAAGTCTCCAAAAAATTTAACTTTCATCAGAGGGAAAGTGCATTGCTAGCCCTTCCGTTGGCAAAGGCAGCCTCGAGACTCTAGGTAGATGCATAATTTTGCATTTCTGTGTTTGGTTTGGTGACTGAAGGGAGGCAGACAGTGGTAGTTAGTGTAAGATGAATAACACTGGTTTTTGGAAAGAGACCCTCATTCTGAGCTCTGATGTTCTTACTGTGAAGAAGCCCCATCACTGCTGATGGCTCTATCTCTCGCTCTCCCATCCCAGCCTGCATGCTGGTTTGCTGCACAGTGTGGCAGAGTCCCTGCCAGGTCTGATGTACCCCAGGAATAAGGCGATGGGGCTTAGTCTGGGCATGCATAGAACCCAGAGTTGAGTGGTTATTAAGATCACTGAAAAGTCTCTCTCTAAACACCTTGGGCACAAGCAATGCTGATGTCGTCATCAGCTCTAAAGCGGGATATAGGCTTCGGGAGGTTTTTTTTAAATCACCATTATTATAATTGCTAAAAAATAAACTCGGTCCAGGTGCAGACCCCAAGAAAGGCAGTTCAACTGGTTGAGCTCAAAGTTGTTAATTGTCTTTTCTTGTGGTTCTGTCTCTTTGCCCTGTACACAGAAACAAAAGTCTGCACCCCTCACCCCCAATCAGGTACATCCCTCTTCCTCAAAGAAATAGTGCTTCTTGGGACAGATCTCTCCATGGCTCTGTACCATCTCTGGCTATTACAAAAACCCTCAGTTACTTGTGAAACAGACCAAAAAAAAAAAAAAGTCCTAATTACTCATGGTTGGCTAAAGTACTAAATGATCCTTTAAGAATTGCATGTAAGTAACTAGGAACCAAGTTATTCAGCTATCTATTTGCATGGCAGGCCCAGGTTGTTTAACAAGATGAAAGCAAAAACTTCCCTTTATATCGTTTGCCTGAGTTTGTGTCTGAAAGCCATCAGCTTAAAAATGCATTAATCAAATATCTTCCAAAAATACCCATGAGGGCAACTCATTAAGGGATGTGCTCCATGAGAGTGTGTCACTAATATGGAAGGGAGATCATGGGAGGTCAGTGAGGAGGAAGTCTTTGTCAGACTTTGGAAGGAACTCAGATGTTCTTAATGGATCGTTGGCAACAAAAGGGAGAGTGCAACTTTCAATTCTTGAATTTGATCATCTGCTGATAGTGCATACATTTAGTCTTTCAATTAGTCTTTACAAAATATTTCACAAAACTTTTTTAACCTATAGAAATTCGTTTCTATACATTTGATATATTTTTATTGTATAAATTATTCTCATCTGTAGTGCCTTCTTTCAGCTTATAAATGGCAAAATAGACAATAAACAATCATAAAGCTAACCTCAGGTGGAATCCCCTCCTCTCAGTGAGGTCAGTCCTCCATACACTTGTGAATTTTATGAAATGCTCGTCTTTGTAGATGCCAGTCAAGAAACTTCAAGAAACTACACACTTATCTTTCCCTGCTATTATGCCGTCTCCAAAGGGACTCCTTTCCTTTATCCTTCTTTCTTTCTTTCTTTCGCTTGTTAAGAAATCAAAGGGTGTGCATAGTTATAAAATTCAAAGTGTACCAATTACAGATGTGGGTAATGGGAAGGTTGGTGAAGTTCAAGTGCTGGCAACTTTTCTTTAAAGCAAAAAACACAGAGAGCTCAGCAGCTAAATCAGCTCGACATCTGCTGGGGTGAGGAGGCTGCCCATCTCCTGGCCAGAAAGCCCTTCAGAGGTTCATCCCTACACCTGGCACTTTGAGCAAACCAAAGCCTTCCTGCATACTGCAATGTCTTTTCTGTCCCACCCTTTGGGCCCTCCGTTTCCTTCATGGCTTCACACAGTTTGTGTTGTACATTCATAAGAATTCACATTGACTGCAAAAACATAAATGCAACAAAAACATAAAAGCCTCCAAGTAGTATATTATATATATTTTGTTCTTCTAAATGCTCTTCTGTCATTGTTGGAGGTGCAGTAGCTAATTTATAACTTTTCCTTTGAGGGAATCCAGATGAAAGGCCCAGATTGCTCTTCAATAACAAGCTTGCATTGATTATATATATCTTCTAAGGTGTCTCCTTGGACAATAGCTAGAACAAAAGCAAACACAGCAGAATTAGGAATATTATTCCCCGGTTGGTGAAGAACAGCTGTCAATCACACTGCAGAAGCTTGAACCAGTGACAGACAAACTCATCTGGAAGCTTCATGTTACTTTTCCTTAGTAAGAAAGAAAATAAAAAGGGAAAATTCACCTAAGCAAGACCACATCAGTGATTAAAGGAAAACAAATGCTTTCAGTGCATGTCTTAGATCAGGTAACAAATGTACCACAGTCTTTCTACTTTTCTACATGTCTGTCTATAATTTGGGACAATAAATCACTAATATAGTCAAATTTTATGGGCACCTACTCTGGGCCAGGCACTGGGCGAGGCATTGATCAGCTTTTAGATTGAGATCTCCCTGCTTATCAGAGAAAGCTAGCCTCATATTCTGTATACTGTAATTACTCTGGCAGGTGCAGAAATTCAGACATATTAGACACAGAGGAAATAATAAGGTTTTGGAGGCAACTTTTGCTAACCCCTCGAACCCCAAACCCTTTAATAGGAAACCACATTCATTCTCCAAGTAATCTGGTAAACATATTTTACCATCACAGGGCTGCTCAATTGAGAATGCCTCACGACGACAGCTTAAAAAAAACATACACTATTTTGTAGTAGAAGAAACATAAACACACTACTATTACCTAAAACAACAAGTCACCTAAAGGAGATTTAAGTACCTTTCATAATCTCCTTTAAAGTAAAGTTTTCTTACAGATGGATCTCCAAAACATGTCAGCACTATCTATTGGACATTAGGGATTAAAATGAATTGCTACTGAAACATAGTTTAGGTCTTCAAAAACAACCCTGAGAATATATTGACTATTGCATTTTATTTCTGATATGAACCACTGCCCAAAATGTGCATAATTTTGATCTGCTGTTTATACCTAGATGTTCTTTTTTTTTTTTTTACAAATAGTTTATTGTCAAATTAGTTTCCACATAACACTCAGTGCTCATCCCCACAAGTGCCCTTCTCCATGCCCATCCCCCCCCCCACCCACATCCATCAGTCCTCAGTTTTTGTCAGCATTCAAGAGTCTCTCATGGTTTGCCTCTCTCCCTTTCCCCCACCATTTCCCCCCTTCTTCTCCCCCTTGTTCCTCCGTCAAGTTCCTCCTAATCCTCCTATTCATGCAAACATATGATATTTGTCCTTCTCTGCCTGACTTATTTCGCTCAGCATAACACCCTCAAGGTCCATCCATGTGGCTACACATGGCCAGATTTCATTGTTTCTCATTGCCATGTAGTATTCCATGGTATAGATAAACCACATCTTCTTGATCCATTCATCTGTTGATGGACACTTAGGCTCTTTCCATGTTTTAGCTATTGTGGAGAGTGCTGCTATGAACATTGGGGTACATGTGCTCCTATGCCTCAGCATTTCTGTATCCCTTGGGTAAATTCCTAGCAGTGCTATTGCTGGGTCATAGGGGAGTTCTATTGTTAGTTTCCTGAGGAACCTCCACACTGTTTTCCAGAGGGGCTGTACCAGTTTACATTCCCACCAACAGTGCAGGAGGGTGCCCGTTTCTCCACATCCTCGCCAGCATCGAGAGTTCTCTGATTTGCTCATTTTAGCCACTCTGACTGGCGTGAGGTGGTATCTCAGTGTGGTTTTGATTATACCTAGATGTTCTTTTAGATGACACATAATTCATACCATTGTTACTGATAGAAATTTTCCTTAAGATTACCTGATTCAACATATTTGCAAACTGCTAAACCACTGGCATTTTCCTATTCTGATTAAGATGAAAAATAAAGCAGGTAACTTCTCCTAAGGTAATTCTGGAGGAAATTTCCTGCTTTAGTTTTTTTTTTTTTATTTTTAAGAGAGAGAGAGAAAGAGAGAGAAAGCGAGTGGGAGAGGGGCAAACGGGAAGACAGAGAAAAAGACAGAGGCAGAGAGAGAATCTTAAGCAGGCTCCACGCTCAGGGCGGAGCCCAACTCAGAGCTCAATTTCCAGATGGTGAGATGCGGAGCCACTTGGCACTCGTGGAATTTCCTGTTCTTAAGCCATTTGTTATTGTAAGGCAAACTCCACACACTTCGATTACTCTTTGGATTTGGTCAGTGTTTCATGAAAGTGAGGAAGGAGAACCCAGGATACCTGGGGCAAGAAAATCTTCCTCTATTCCCCAAACTTCATGTTTCCAAGGAAATGTTTAAAAAGAAAAAGGAAAAAGGGGGCACTTGGGTGGCTCAGTCAGTTAAGCATCCAACTTTTAATTTCAGCTCAGGTCGTGATCTTAATGGTTGTGAGACTGAGCCCCGGGTTGGGCTCTGCACTGAGCAGGGAGTCTGCTTGGGATTGTTTCTCTCTTTCTCCCTCTCTCTCTGCCCCTCCCCTGCTCATATGCATGTTCTCTCTCTCAGAGTAAATAAACGTTTAATAAAAAAAGTAAAAGAAAAAAGTTTTGCATTGGGACCTGACTTGGTATTAATGGAAACACCAGGAAGTGTGTCGGCATCTTGCTCAGGTGCTGCTGATGGGGACACAGCCCTGCAAGTCACTGAAGCAGATAATGGAGCCCTGAGACTGCTTCTCATGAGTCACCACTTTGGATGCTGCCTATCTCAGCCCTAAACGTTTCTTTTTTAAAGATTTTTGTTGAGATTAGGGAGATAGTTTAATGAGGTACCGAATGCCTCGAATCTTCTTAATAGCAGGAGGTAGCTCAGTGTCATATGTGACTCATGCTTTTGGGTAGGGCCAATGGGAACCTGGAAACTGACAGTAGCTGAATCCAAAGAGGAGAGAACTCAGAGTTCTGGGTCAGACAGGTAAAGCAGAGGGAAATTAGGGCTTCTCCGAGGAAAGGTTTTAGGGTCCAGGTACACCAGCCCCAGACTCCTCTCTAAATGCCAGATGTCAGAGAGTTGATCCTTTCTCTCACAGTACAAGGGTAAATGAACTTACCTGTAAAATATTCTCCAAATTCTTGTTCTAGCTTAATTGCACGATCGTAGGTTTTCTTGGCTTGTTCCTCTGTTAGACGTTTATTCATCTCCCTGAGAAAATGAGGGTTTGGTATTAGAACACACGGGGAATGTACCAAATCCTGAAAACTTAAAATATGTGGCAAAAATGAAAGCTGCAGGAGGCACAGCGTCATCTTAGCAGCTTCCTAGTCCTCATTTGGGATTCTTCTTTGCTGGAATAATTTCAGCAACGAGGACCCCCTCCCAGAGAGCTCACCCTTGGCTCCACACTGGAACCGAGATTGATGCAGAGTCTATCTGTTTTGAATTCCTATCACTGGTCCCTGTTCTGTCCTCTGCAGTCATACAGAGTGGGACGAAACCTCTTTCCTCCATGACAGCCATCGGGGTCCTAAAATCCAGTGCTCATGTGTCCCTTGAGGTTGTCCCCACTCCTTCAGAATAAACTGTCCTATTCCTTCATCTGTTCTCTCATTGGATGTGATTTCCAAATCCTAACCTTCCTGGTTACTCTTTGGACTCTGTCCTTGACTGTCTTGATCTGTCTTAAATATGGGACATAGACTCGAATAACATCTTCCAGGGGTTGTCAGAAGGGGGAGAAGAGATTGCGAGAAGGGAAGGGACACCACAGCATTTTGTACCTCATCACCTCTGAGAGACCTAGACGTGACCGTTGGCAGGTCCTGCTCTCACGGAAACCTTTGATTTCTCTACTCCCCATCCTCCCTGAGGGCTGTGGCTCATCATCAGCATGTCGTAGGAAATGTATGGAATGGAGAAACAAAGTGCTTCCTGAGAAGATGTGACAGGTGCCTTGGGCATGTGGATCTTTGAGGCCCAAGAGGCATTTTGCCACCCTCCCTGCTCAGCTTCTGTAAAGGGTGAAGCATGTCTATAGAAACAAGAGCCCTGAACTTCTCTGTTTTTATATCCAGATGGCTTTAGAAGGATCTGCTGGGGAAGGCATGAATAATCCAATACAGACAGAATGTAACAATCAAACCTGATGGTACCAAAATATTTTCAAATCGATTATAAGCAAGTAACCTATATAGTGAATCAGGGTAGAGGATCTTGGTAAGAATCTCCAGTGTTGACTTGGTTTTGTTGCTGGTCTGGTAGGAGAATGGGTTATAAAGTATTATGCCTGGGATTCTCTCTCTGTCCCTTTTTTTTCTGTCAGTCTCTCAATGATGGTGTATATAAGTGCTCCTTAATCACTGTAATATTTAAATCCAACCTAGTCTCAAGGACAAATTGAGTGGAAAGGAAACAGAAAAATAATCCAATCTCCTGATTCCTAACCAGCAGCAGCTTTATTTTTCCATGTCCTCTAGGTGTTAAAATTCTTTGCCTACCAAACAAGCTGTACTTTACTAAATAAAAATTATATTGTCTTCCTGTGTTTGATTAATCAAAGACATTTTACTAATCAAAGACTGACAATTCTTTCCTCTGATCATCATATGAATGCCAGTGTGGCTGCACTGGGCTGATAAAAAGTCTAGCCAAGAGAAAACTGGGATGCATCACAGGGGCACGTAGAATATTGAAAGCATTGCTGCCTCTGCATGTCACTGAGGAAGCCAGAGATTAGGGCATGGGACAGGTGGTTTTAGAGCAAGTAGCTGTGGCCTGAAGTAATAAAGGGACTTGTGAAGGTAAAAGAGGAGATCCGGTGTCCAAAAAAGTTTTGGGGTTCTTTTAAAACCAATTTTAGTCAAACAGACTTCCCATTGTACCAAGACTTTCCCAAGAGGCTTATTTGGAAAAAAAATTAAAGAACTGAAGTCAGATATTAACATGATTCTAGACATGAGGTGATAGCTGTGGTACAAAAAAGTAGGAATTTCCTGAACTCTTGATGTTGAAATAAAGGCATCTCGTCCCAAGGGACGGTATCTACAATACTCCTCCCAAAGAGCACCAGCCCCAGAAGCTGTGAGTGCATATTACCCTTGGGTACAGAAGATGCTGGGAGAAACCCAGGGATACTGTTCACAGAAAGATAGGGTTTTGTTCCAGATGTCAAGAAGGCATGTGGCTCTGGACCTCCTTTGACTTGCCCAGCTCATCTCATCTGGGTTCTCAGAATTCCCTTTGCACTTACTACAGCCATGACTGAATTTTGATTTTTATCCTCTAATATATCATCTATTATATACATTGTCTCCTTGCCTAATCTGTGAGTTCTTTGAGGGTGGAGACTAGGGTTTGTTCATCAGCATGTGTCATAGAGCCTGGCTCAAGACTTAATTGTTGAATGAGTAAGTGAATGGATGAATGGAGAACTAGACAAATAAACATAATTATATTACAGTTGGAGATAGGAGTAAACATTGGCCACTGTGGGAGCAAGAAGGTAAAAAACAGATTAGGGGTAGCAAGGTAAAGAGACACAGGAAAGCTTCACACTGCCACAGGGTGGGGGTGAGGAACAGAAGTGGCACGGTAACCTGCTATAAAAAGAACATCTCTTTTATAAACACCCTTGATTTTATGCTCCTCCGAAGAATCAGCTATGTATGTGCTAATAAGCTCTGTGGTTTGATGTGAATGATGCACTTGAGAAATAATGTGTGTGATGATCTGTCAATGTCTAAATGTGACACCCGCCATGCTTTTGTTCCAGTTGACCTAGCATTCACTCCTTCCCCGGGGAATGGGCAATTCCTGCTAGCTTTGCTCCTAAAGTAAAACCCTTGGAAAAGAGTGAACTGGAAAGTAAACATCCAGTCTTTAATAATAAGATCAGATTGGTTTGAATGTCACCATTACTGCACTCGAGACTCATGAATATGGCTGCAGCAAATTATGTCAGATTCACGGTCTTCATCGCGGAAGCCAGCCTTCAGTATGTTTAACGTTCCTTGGTGATAAGTGGCTGTGACAGCGCCCCAAGGCAAAACTAAATAAGTCATCTCATAGTTGTGGAAGGAAGTAGACCTTCTCCCACCGAGCACCAGATGGGAATGTCTCCCAATATCACACTAAAGCAAATGTGCCAAGGCTGTTTCTCCCTCAGGCTTCACTTCTCTGGGAAGCTATTTATCCCGCTGTGTATTTATGATGTGAAACCTAGTTTTCTATTTCTGAAACAGGACTTTAAGATGTTATTCCCCAAAGGTGAGGGCCATTTTTCTATTCTTCTTTACAATGTTGGCATTGCTAATAATATTTATTAAGCCCTTTACAGATTATAAATTGCTTTCACATCATGAAATTCCTGGTTGCTTAATTTACTTTGTGCACTACCCAACATGGTATCCCATTTGAGGAGAAATGTGATGAATGTTATCAGGGATAATAATATCAAGAACCGGTATCCTATCATCAACATGTGTTTTTCCATGTGCCAGGTATGGGCAGAGATCTTTATTATAATTTAACACTCAAATTCTCAGGGCAGAAGAAATTGTCAATGGTCTACTGATTTTATTTCTGCATCCTGGGAAGAACTTTTGTCCATCTTTTATTTATGGGAATGTATTCTACTTTTAAGATATGTCTCTGGCGAATTCCCCAGGGAATGACTGTGTATTTAACTTAATTCTCTTAGGTTGCAATTCTAGCTCCTATAGCTTGCTTTGCTTCTTCGCTCCTAGAGAAGATGTGGAATGGCTGGCTGATACCTTTTGCAAGTAACTGTTTCACCTCTGGGATTATGTAATTTCCTTTTCTTTGGTCTTTCCATGCACCCTGTGTTCCAGTCTCTGGTTCACTTCTGAACCTGGTCAAATGCTCTTAAGATCTCGAGGCCCAAATGGAAGCACATTTGAGCAAAGCTCTTACAACAGACAGACTGGCATTTTCTCTGTGGCCTCCTGGAAAAGGTAGTTTATGTCTTTTGTAATGATAAAATGGTTTTATTCCTTTTACTATAAAGTAACTTGGAATTTTTAACAGTTATAATAGCTACTATTTATTAAGGGCTCACCATATGTTAAAGACCAAATGGAGAGCTTTGCATTCATGATCATGTTTAACCTTTATACTAGCTGTGAGGTACACATTATTAATGTGCCTAGTTTAGAGGCGAGGAACTAAATCTGACAGAGGTCAAGCAGCTTGCCTGAGGCCACATAACTGATCAGAGGCAACAGGAAAAAATCACACCTAGCCTGACCCACTTTCAAGTCCCTGCTCATAGCCTCTTTGCTCTGCTACCTTTTTGGCTACCACAGCCTCCCATTTGTTTGAGAGTTGTCTAGAAAGCAATGCCAACAATTTCTATCAAATTGCCAGGGAAAATATGTTACTTTATAGTCAGGTTGTAAGTATTTGTCCAATTTGTTTACTGATATTTGAAGGAAGATATTTTGTCAGTCCTCTGAAAAATAAAAAGAACAATAAAAATATCTGAGTCATACACATTTGCCTGGTTCATAAACATGCACTGGTATGGAGCTATTGGTATGAGTTATAGAAGTGTTCCTGCCATGTTGCTAAGAAAACTCCCTTTTAAGGATAGTGGTCTATAGACATGAGATTTTAATTAAGAAATAAAAGAATTATCTGCTAGAACAAAATGAAATGTCAATAGTAAGGATCTAAAATATTGTGTGTTCCCTCTGGAAAAACCTACATGTTTAAAAAAATTTACTAATGGAACAAACGGAAGCAAAGATGATTGCTTCTTAGCATTTGAAAACCAAACTAAACCAAATCAAACCGAACCAAATCTACGTACCTTTTTAAAACAACAAAACAAGACAAGCCAAAAAAAAAAAAAAAAAAATAAAAAAAAACACACACACCACAAAAAATGGGAAATGGAAATAAAAAATCAAGAAACATTAGTAAAGACATGTTAGGGAATAACGAAAATTATGTCTCTAATGGTACCAAATCTACGTACCTTTTAAAAACAACAAAAAAAGACAAGCCAAAAAAAAAAAAAAAAAAATCACACACACACACACACACACACACATTGTGAAATGAAAATAAAAATCAAGAAACATTAGTAAAGACATGTTAGGGAATTACTGACATTATGTCTCTAATGGTTCAAAAACATTTAAATGTATTTTTTAGAAAGGAAATGCTTTAAAAAGTCAACAGTGGCACTTTTGACTTATGAGCATTTGTGATAAAGAGCTGTTAGCAATTTGCTGTGTCACGTGAAACAGGCAGCTGGGTGACAGCCTCCTGTGCCCTCCACTTACATGAGAGGTTCCAGAGATTTGGGCTTAATGAAGATAGCAATGGGATAGAGCTGGGCAACTTGTAACCGCTTGATAGCATTTCCTGACACGTCAAGTATACAGTGTTTGCCCTGGGAGAAAGAGAAGAAAAATATGGAGTTAATCCAGAAAGAATGATCATAAGTGAACCAAAACAAACAAACAAACAAACAAAAGTAAGTGTGTCTTAAAGGAAGGTAAGGGATACTGAATTCCTAGTGGTTGAAAAGGGGTCATTGCAAAACATAAATGAAAGTTGATATACATGGTCATCACTGAATGCTTTTGATAGCTCATATTTATTATTCCTTTACTAAGCGTCTGCCACTGGGGTAGAGATTTTACATGTGTTATCTCAGTTACCTTGATTTTGTTAAATAAATACCTGATGTTTCACAAAGAAGATATGTGGCATTATGTAATATGACTGGGTCCACGCTCATGAGCTGTCATAAACTATCTCTGAAGACAACTATCAATAAGAAATTCCCAAATCTATGAGGTAGGTATAATCAGCCATATTTTACAGAAGCTAATACTATGGCTTAGAAATAATATGTATCTTGCTCGAAGTCTTAGTGCTGGAAGAGCTCAAACCCCTGTCTTGAAGCCCTGACAGAATTCTTGGTTGGAATAGATACTTTGTTGCTTCACCCTGACGAACACTGAATTTGAAAGAATGGTAATTACATGAATTTGGAACAATTCCATAAACATTTGTTGAGTGCTTATATGTGTCCTGCCCTAGATATGCTCAATCTAGTATAGCCGAGGATAGACACATGAAGAGTTACTTTATTATATCTTAAGTGCTGAGAGAGAGTGTATGTACCGTGCATGTAAATTTCTTGTTTGTTAAATGAAAACCCTATTACATATAGCACACCTCATTTAACTTGGCTTCCACTGCAATGAGTGCTCAGAGCAAGGAGTTGCTTTATAAAGTATTTCTGGAAAAGTAGATATATTTGCCAAATATCATATTCTAACTCCTGGGGAGAAATGGCCTCATTACCCTGAGGCTAGAAGAACTTTACAAAAGAAGAGAAAAAACATATTGTGCAGATACGAACAGTCCTAAATCAATAACAGGGGATTAAAAACTCTCTATAATACCCACGTGAAAATGAACACACTCCAGTGAATACTTGAGCTCTTGTGGGAGAAACATACTAAGATGGTTCAACCCTAAATCTCTTAAGTAATTGCAAGTTTGCTATCTGTGAAATACCACAGCTAGACAAAATGTCTTAAGTGCTGCTTGATTATTCAATGGCCAGAACTTTTCAAGTTAACAGGGGCTGTATCTACATGTTCAAAGGGGAGAACAGATGCAACCATTAGGAAACTGGTTAGAAACAATATGATAAAGCTCGTAGAACCCAGCTTTTGAGAGAGAGGAAGAGATGCAGCTTACTTCCTGTATTCTCAGATTGACATTAAAATTTCTTCTTTAATTTTTATCAGTACATCAAAAGCTTTTATCAAATCAAATAAAAATCAACCCAACAAATACAAATTGTATAACAAATGTAATTAGTTCTCAATTCTTTTCTCTCATAAAACAAGTCCTCTGTGTTGACAGGAGATTAGGATTTCTCTATAGGTAGATTTTTTTTTTTTTTTTTTTTTGATAGAGCTTTAGCACAAGTAGGAGAGAAGGAGGAGAGATGGGGGAGAGGGACAGAGAATCTAAGCAGGCTCCACACCCAGTACAGAACGCAAAGTCGGGCTGAAACTCATGAACCATGAGATAATGATCTGAGCCGAAAGCAAGAGTTGGACACTTAACCGACTGAGACACCCAGACGCTCCTCTCTATAGGCAGTTCTTAAAGCCACATTCAAGTGCCTTCCTATCTGGTTCTCTCCTGAACATTCTCTTCTTTTCCAAGCCCTCGATACTACCAGTAAGAAAGGAATTGCATTATTCACACCCCCTCTAAGTTTGAATTTTTGCCAGCAGTAGGGTAGGCCCTAGCCCTCTTCATCTACCTACCCTTCCCCCAAGGGGGTCTCAACTTTTCAGTGAGATAAAACCTAACTCCTGCTAACAAAAACAATTGAGGATCCTGACCCAAACAACCAAGAGTAACAAAGCTTCCTTAACAAATTCAATGCTGTTTACAGGGACCAAAGATAAGTGAGTCAAGGACAAAGTAAATTTCCATAAACTTCAAGCTGTTAATTGCCTTAGGTTTATAACCCCTTCCTCCCCACAAGTCAGTCAGCATACTTTATTGAGATTAGAACAAAGATTAATGACCTTGCTCTAAAGCGATTCTCTGCTTAGAGGTCTTAAAAGGAATATTTAATCAAAATTTACACCTGCAATCAGGAAAGAGTAATGATCAAACAATGCAGTTTGCCACCCAGGAACCTTCTTTAGGGGAGGTGTAACATGATTGGTGAACATACCCTTTCTGCTACAAATCTCACAGATTGCACACTAGTTCCATATAAATTGTCGTTGTACTGGCCAGCTTCTATAAACTTGTGCTCTTGGATATCTTTCTCCATTTGTTCTCTGGAAATGACAAAGTGATAGTCTCTGCCATCCACCTCATAGTCCCGCTTTGGCCTCGTAGTATCTGTGTAAAACAAAAACAATAAAATTAAGGTAATTTATATTCATAAATGTCCTTTACAGTTATTTTCTTTACCATACCCTCCATACCCTCAATACAGATATACAAAAATGTGTAATGTGGAGGACCATGACATAGTAACAGTTACCAGTCGGCCTCCTACCACAAAAGTAGACAAAGTATATGGAACAGCCATTGTCAGGCATCAGATGGCAGGCAGTACAAGGCTGTGATCTTGAGAGAGGAGAAACCACGAGGGGAACTCTATATTCACTTTACCTCCATTTCCAAAAGGGAGGTCTAGGGGACACCAGAGTTCACTCAGAACTGGGCGTTTGGTTGAGAACCTGGAAAGGCCATAATCTGGAAGATTACTCTAGATTTATTCTAGATCCACCTTCACAAAGTGTGAAACCAAGGCATAACTGAAGAAGCTTATTTGCCAGTAAATTATTATCAGCCTGAATAAAAACATATTATTCTATAAAGAAAGATAACCAAATCTGGACTCTCAATACATAGTGACACAATGTCCAGGACACAATTACGGGACACGTGAAAACAAAAACAAAAACAAAAAACCAAGAAAGTGTGTCATGTAACCAGTAGGCAGAAAAAAATGGACATACAGTAAAAACATATTTAAGGATTTTTTTTTAAGTTTTTTTTTTAATATTTTTATTTATTTCTAGGAGAGAGAGAGAGACAGCGTGAGCAGGGGAGAGTCAGAGAGAGAGGGAGTCACAGACTGAAACAGGTTCCAGGCTCTGAGCTGGCAGTCAGCACAGAGCCCGACGCGGGGCTCTAACCCACGAGCCGTGAGATCATGACCTAAGCGAAAGTCGGACGCTTAACCAACTAAGCCACCCAGGCGCCCCCATATTTAAGGATTTAAAAAGACGTAAAATGAGATCATCACACTTAAAGTGAGACTAAAAGTCATCAACTCTAACCATGGTTAGAGGTGGTTAAACTTCTTGGTAAGAAGACAAGGGAAAACAATCTGTCAGTATAAATATGTTAAATATTACAGATGTTAAAATATTCCAGTCTTTGACTCAGATACCCTCTTCCTAGGAATCCATCTTAAAAAATTATCAAAGCTTCAGATATAGATTTACTCTTATAGATATTCATTATAGTAATTTATAAATATAAATAATAATTATAACATAATTACAATTAGTGAAAAGTAGAAACATCCCCAATACCCATAAATGAGGAATGATTAATTATGACATAATAATTTAAAATATTTATATAAAATTTTAAATACTTTGAAAATACTTTTAAGCCAAAAAAATTGTATACATCCAATGTGCACCCAATCAGAGGAGAAAATGTGTGTATAAAAAGAAGGAATAGGTAAAAATCTATGAAAATACTACCAATGATGTTATCTCTGGATCCTATGTGAAATTCTGTATTTTAAAAATTTTCCAATTTAACTTTCTTTTTAGCATTTTCCAAGTTTTGTACAATGAACACACATTAGTTATCATAAAATAGTGCTATTAAGAGAAAGAGCACAAGGTGGAGGGGAAAGTGGGAACGATGTTTAAAGACCATTTGGGTTTTTTCTTTCCAAAGTGGGGGAAAACACTGGAGGCTGCTATGAATGGAATAGGGTTTGACTTGATCGTTTCTGTCTGGAGCCCTTCTCAATATATGCTCTGTGGCAGGATCTCTCCCTAGAGTTCTTACTGGGAACAGTTTTATGACACACAGAGATCACCACAGCTCCCCTCTATGTACTCACTCACACCAACTCCTGATATTGTTAGGTATTCTGGGTGACATCCGCAGTGCTGAGGTGTACGAGACACTTCAAAGCATAAAAAAAGCTTAAAAATGTAGAGTGAAAAAAATGTTTGTTGGAATCAGAGTTAACAGCTCAATTATCTAATAAGTTGAAATTACCTGGTGACGGGGGAGGTTCTGTTTACACACACACACACACACACACACACACACACACACACACACACATATACACAGAAGGCCTCTACGCATTTCTATGTGACACAGGGGCAGTAGTGGGTGAATGGGAAGGTGTGGTGCATGGGAGGAGGTAGAGCAGATGGACCCTTAGGGGGCTACACTCAGAGGGACCAGAAGACCTGATGATTATCCATATGGACAAGAAAGCAGATTAAAGTCTCTAATGGCCTACAGGGTAGATTAAGATTTTATACACCTTCTTGTCTTCATTCTCTCAACACCTTAGACTGTTATCACACATGGAAAAGGCTGTTTTGTTTTGGGATTGACACAAGGACCTACGTCATCCTGAGATGATTTTAATATATGGCTTTGTTTCTGATCTCTCCTATTCTATGGGAAAAAAATGTTTCCGTGGCATTTCAATCAATTTATAAGAACATACTGATGACTATCAATAATCTTATGCTATTTATTTATTTATTTGTCTATCTATTTATTTATTCTTATGCTATTTTAAATGCTATGGGAGTTATAAAGAAAGTATTCATCTTGCCTTCTAGGGGATCACAGTCAGTTTGGAGAACATATTATACCCAGTAAATAACAATATATGGCAGCACTGATGAAAAGTGTTAAGCAGAGAAAATTATAAATAAGATGCTCAGATAAAAAAAGATAGATAATAGGCAACTGACAGCATTTGCATCAGTGGAGAGACCATCAGAGGAACAGAATTACACCTTATTATCTCAAAAGGAGTCAAGCTTTTTTTCTAGAAAGATGAGAAATGATACTTACGAGGCACACAGGAGCCAAATTTATCAGGGAATTCAGATATCAAGTCATCATTGATCCGATCCTTCATGGGACCCAGGATAATCACTGGCCGGGTATAGTTTACTGCAAAGAGGGAAGGGAAGATGCAAATGAGGAGAAAGACTTGGACATGACTGCAAAACTGTTCTGAGTGGGTGAGTGTTAAGGCAAAAATGCCAAACAGAACTGGTGAGGTCGTTACTTCATTGGATGAACTGCCCACACAGCCCTGCATGAGAAATTGATGTTTAACGTTCAGTACATTGGCTGTGCCTACTTTCTGGAATTTACCAATAGGGAAAAGCAACCGCAGTGTCTGTCAATGAAAAGAAACACTTGGAGGGGTTTAGCTTACACTCAGGTTTTGCCTGCACAATGTCAAAACAACTACTGAATTTATTCAGTTGAGTGGGAGAAAAAAATTTCCAAAGTAGCTGTTTGGCCATTGTTTAGATAATGACTTTAAGAAGCAATTGTTAGTATAATGACACCTTATGTTTTTATAATTTCTTTTCCTCAGCTCCAACTGCTCTCTATTCTCTTCTGGGGTTTTCCCAATTCTTTGTGTCATGAGGTTAGAAAGAACTCTAAAGTCCATTTGGTACAACTCCTCCTTCGATGCTTGAATTTTCTCTTCAATATCCTTGTCAATAGCCATTAGCCTCCCAGTAAAAGAAATGCAGGCTTCTGGAGCCACCCAGAAGACGGCTTGTATCTTAGGACAGGTCTGCTAGAAAGCCTTTTTCAATTCTGAGCAGACGTCAGTCTCCCAGGAGAGTTTATCCATTTGTCCTTCAGGTGGGGCTTTTTAGTGATTCGATGGGCTCCTTCCACTTAGGACCACTCATCTGGAGGGTGGCTCCAACCTCCTAGGACCTGTCACTGCCCATGCTTAGCAGGGAAGTTGTTTGATAATAGGACCAAACAGAGAGCAGAGTCTGGTCTGGGGACAGTGGAACATTCAGCAGAGTTTATCATCCTTAGTCCTTCCCTCTTTGACCCTATAATGATGTCACATGATGTGGCCTGGAAATCAGGAACCAGAGCATGCTGAGAAACTTACTTTCCTGCCTTGTGACAGGCTCATAAGAAAGAATGAAGTCTTCTTGCCCTCCTGAGAAGAGAAGAAAGGAAATTACAGTGAACTAACAACCAGTCATATACCACATACCACAGCTACAAGCCCTGCTCTGAAACACAGGAAACAGACAAGGTTCAGGGTTCATTTACCTTGTTCTCTTTCCTTGAACCCTCCCCCCAATCCCTTCGTCTTCATAAAACTCTTTAGCACTATTATACTATCATGTTATCAATGGTCATAACTCTAAGCAATGACTGAAGGCTAACTGCCTGCAGTTCAGCAGGGCAGTGACCTATAAGACTGCCTTCTGTCTGACACTGAGGAAGTGGATCCCCTATTACTTATAATGAAACCATTCAGTTCGAGAAGAGGGTCCATCCAATAGTGTGCTGCCACATTATCAGATTTCCTGGACTTGATATTTCGTCTTCTATTTAATTTCCCAAAAAAGCACATTGTTCAAAAGCAAGTGTCTGGTTGGTTCACTTATGTTGCAAACACTTCATCAGCATATACCACAGGACACTGAAGACTTTATTGCAATGTTAATTCATTAGGAGAATGCTGGATAGTTCAAGAAGATAAAAAATTGAGGAGGCTCCTAAATCACTGATTAGAATCACTCCTAAACCTAGCCTTAAAACTTTGGAAAGAGAACTAAGTAAGAATGTAATAAAAGTGTCAGCCTCTCCAATGACATTTACTGCAAGCCTTCTAATTCACAGAGGGCCTCAAGTCAACAAATGACCATGGAAAGTTCATTGGTTTTAGGCAATTATTTTTTCAAACATCTGTTTTACCCAGGTGATGAACTGGGCATGAGATTAGACTGGTTCAGCTGTGAACCCAGAAGGGTCTATTCTTCCTTCTCATTAGGCCCAAGACCGATTGCCTTTTGATACCAAAATAATTTAGGGCTATTGGAAAGGACTTCCTGTATGCTGTTCTATAGAGGAGGGTTTTAGGAGGTGTTTTTCCTGAACAAAGGGCAGTTCAACTCATTGCTTTCCCTTCTCATCCCCCTTGATACATATTCCATCTGTCAAAGTCATGTGCTCCTCCTTTAATAGCCATAGCATCAGGAAAAGTGAGTTAATTTCATAAAAGGTATTAATGTTATGGACAGTTTTGGTAATGACAACTAATTTGGGGGAAATTAGGCAATATAGGAATAAAGCTGTGAATTATAAATGTCTTCCCTGGAGATCAGGTAGCTGGGATGGTGTAGGGGGTTGAGAGTGTTCTTACTTTTTCAAGTGTGAGAAACGGCACCAGGCCAGAGTCATCTCTCTTCTCACTGTCAAGAAAGCTTGCTCTGAGAATGGCACTGTGAGGCTAAACTACTTCCTCATGACATGGGGAATGAGCCTGACATGCCTTCTCAGTGACATCTACTCATGGCTGTTCCAGGGATAGTCAGGGACTTTTCCATACCTGGGCATGGGTTTGATATGTGAGGAGTCAGGTTACAATTATTATTTTTTATTCAGGAAAATATGATTCCTTTTAAATAAACTAAACAGCTGAAATTTACACAGTCTAGGCCAAAAAATAATGAAAGTGATTGACTTCAGTTGTCTAAAGGCTGAGATAGGGAGAGGTCATAGGAATTCAGAAGGTAGTGTTAAAATGGTTGGGGACCAAGTATACCTTTGGGGATAGCAACATGGAGACTAGTACTGCAGCATTAGACTGTAACTTTACTGGGAAATCTTTATGGAATGATTAACATGTGAGAGGAGAATCCTGACCACAGGATAACCAAAGGTTTTAAACATTAGGAGATACTTATGCCTCTCTACTAGACTAGGAACTCCATAAAGGCAAGAACTGGGTTTCATTTACCATTGGGTCCCCAGTGCTCATCAAGGAAAAAAAAATGTCAATGAATTTGCATCCTGATTTTAGTGGTAGGAAATGGGATGAGTAATGAGGCCAAAGATAGGTTTTACTTTATGTTTCTGTCTGTATGCTTTCATTTTAGGAAGTATGGTTTTCTCAAAATAAATATAACACGTCATGTTCCCACAGGAATCTTTTTCCAATGTCCTTACGGATCATTCTGATGGGACATTCTAAAGGCAAACCTTAAATAAGACATTTGGTGTCAGGATGTTGCATTTGTGATTCAGAAAACTAGGACAAAGCAATACGACTTTGATTAACTTTGTTAGAGAGTTCTGTAGTTCTTTTGTTTATCCATTGCTTTTTGGTTTACTGTCTAACTTACAAAAGGCACTGGTTCTTGTCCAGAGCAGGAAATCTGGCCGATAGCAGTGACAGCATCCTTCTGTCAGGGCCTGTCCCAATTCCAAAGACCCTGTGCCAATCAGGTACTATGTTAGGAAGCCTGCAGGGAAGCTCTCATGGATGGGATTATGTAATAGCTGTGATTACAGCATCTAAAACCAATTTTTACTTTCATGTGTGGGAATGAAAAGGCCTACGGGGAATGTGAAGGAGACTAAGGGAAGGAGGAATAAAAAGTCACAGCAATAAAGGAAAGATAATTCATGTCTGTATGGTCATAAAGGGCTTTCACACCTATTGCCTTCTCTTTTTCACAGCCATTTCTGTTGAGGTCGGTGCTCTAATGATCCCCATTTTACAGATGAAGAAGCTGAGGCTTGAGGTGTTAATGGGGCTTGTTTCCTCAGTTACTAAGTAGTGGAGTCAAGTTTTAGAACGACATCTTTTTTTGACTCCTCAAAGAGGTGTGGAATTTTCTGTTGGGATGGGGATGAAAGGGCAGACCTTACCAATGAACAAAGAATGGGTGGCAAACTTAGGAGCTGAATCCAGTCCGAGTTACTTGGAGGCCATAAGGTGCTCCATCTATAAACACCAACTGTTTTTTTGTTTTTTGTTTTTTTTATGCTGCTGTGTGTCATCTTGGTACAATAGTCATCCTTAGTAGTTTTTCTATTTTTTGCTCAGGAGATGTTGGCACTTAGAAATAACAGCTGACAAAAAGGTACAAACTATTACTTGGTCTTGTTCTGGCAAGTGCATGGCTGAAAGTGGGAGAGCAGCACAGTGCTGTGTGCAGAGAGCTGCAGCTGTCAGGGAGTCAGCAGAGGCCTCTGGTAACAGTCTCTGTGAGACCCTTTGTGTTTAAACTGGAAGCAAGTCACTATTAGATGGACTCAGAGTAAGACCTTCAGATTTCCTTATGATCGAGAGAAGCAAGGTGGTGTTCTCTGGGCATTTTTGGAAACTAAAAAAAATGACAGGAAAGGCAGTACACTTAATATTCCAAACTTAGTGTGTAGTGCCTGCACTTGATGATTATTAAAAATAAGTGAGGTTCTTAGAGGTATAGAACATTAGTGCTAAGAAAGGGTTTGGGGCTCGTGTGATTCAGAGATGGCAAGTATGGAGCATGTGGTGTCACTCCCCATTTTATGCCCTTGATAAGCATCACAGATTGATCGTTGCCCACATTACTGCTGGGCTTCAACTTGGCCTCCATAGTTGTCAATACAGTTCTTCTGGCAGTATTACCCATTGGTCAGAGTTGGGATTTTGGTTAAAATCTGCTTGCCATCTCTGCTGTAACTCAAGCTACTCAGTTTATATAAGAGAGAACTGATGTTCAAAGATGGGTGATTTCTTCAAGGTCACATAGTGAATTGGTGGTTCTGGGTCTCCATAGGAGTTCAGAAGATTAAATCAGTCAATGTACATAGAAAACCAGGCTTAGTGCACAGTTAATGCTATATAAATGTTTCTGCTGGTGTTAATTTGGTAGGTGGTATGGAATAGTTGAAATGTACTGGATAAAACATAAAGAGGCTTGGATTACAAACTATATGGCAGAGTGACAACAAATGGAATTCAGAAGTAAAATCTCTTCATAGGTCTTTTAATGCTATCATATTATGCTGCCTCTTGAAGCTTTAGCTTCCTCATCTGAAAAATGGACTGGTAATACAAGACATGTCTCACCATTTTATTGCAGAAATCAAATAAAAAATAGATAATAAAAATTGCTTTATAAAGGCCAAAGAACTAGAGGAAATATAAGGGCAATCCTTGAGCAGAGTGGAGAAAGGAGAAGAATATTGGCATTATTTTGATAAATTCCAGTGGAAAAGTTTTGGGTCTCCTCATATCAGCACTCAGTTCCACTCAGATCATTTTTTCAAGGCTTGTGTTTTGAAAATCCTGCTTAACTAATCAACACCAATAGGTTAGAAAGATAATCATCAGTTCTCCTGTACCCATGATGACATAAAGAACTTTATGAGCTTTGAGGAAGGCAGGTCTCAGCTGTAGAGACTTACAGTCTTCATTATGCCTACATGGTCTTTATTGCATTCTAATACAAGGATGTTTGAAAGCTAAGATACAAAAACCACAACAGATAGAAGCCTGCACTGTACTACTTTGCTGGCAGAGAGAAATCTGGAATTAGTCCTAATTAAGAGAGTTTCAAGGGGGTCTTTTGCAGAATTTCACAAGGTGCGGTGTAATTAACTGCATTATAGCTAGTGCTCAGTACAGTTGGACTTTGAAAAATTCTCTTTTTTTAAAATAATGCTTGAGATGGTGCAGGAAAGGTCTGAGCTGTTTATTAGACACTGAGGTTTGTGTGCGTGTGTGTGCATGTGTGTGTGTATATCTCGGGAAATATATGAGGCTTCACTTAAGGCTACCACGACATGTAATTCCAGGATGCAGTGTGAATGGAGCTTCTGGGGCTATGAGACATCCTGGTCTGGGACTTTGTTTTTTGACCACTAACCATTTTTTAAAGCCACTGTGTCCCGGAGTGGACACAGAATGGTTCTAACAGTAAAAAATAATACCTGGACATCAGTAGAAAAGGGTCTTTCTAGTATTTGTTTATACTACTATTCATCAAGTGTAAGTTAGTCAAAATTACAGCAAACCTCAGGAATTCAATAGAAAAATGCAGCCAGACTTTCACCCTAGAAGTTGTTGCACTTTGTGCATTTTGTTGTTGTTTATTTGCGTGCTGAGTTCTAGAGTTGGTTGAGATTCATACTGGCTCTCATAGTGCCTTTGAA